TTTATTTATTTATTTATATCTTTTTATTTAAATATGGGTAGGATTTTAAAAATAATTTTTTTGAGACAATGTCTTGCTATTTAGCCAGACCAGGCTTGCATTTGAGATTCTCCTGCCTCTGCCTTTTGAGTGCTGGGGTTGCATGGGTGTATGATGTGCCCAGTGCCTTGGATAATTTTTCAATGTTAACATTTTAATGAAATTGAGAACAAAAGATAAAATTTACATCATTAAGTGTAAATACTTGAAATGACCACTTTGAGTTTACAGCAGTTAAAATAAAGGAATAGTCTTGAAAACAAATATTTAGACCATCAGTGTGCTGGTGGATCTTTCATTGTTTGTTTGGAGACAGGTAGTTAAGGCTAGTCTTGAACTCATTGTGTAGCTAAGGATAACCTTGAATTTCTGGTCCATCTACTTCCTTTAAGTGCTAGGACTCCATTTGCTATGCATAGCTTGAATTTTAAAAATAACTTTAGAACCAGTCATGATTGTGAACCCTTTTAATCCTGGCATCCAGGAACAGAGAAGTAAGCAGATCTCTGTGAGTTGGAGGCCAGCCTGGTCTACATAGTGAGTTCAAGGCAAGCCAAGACTACAGTGAGACTTTGTTTCAAATTTCTGAGGAAAGCGATTTGAGAAAACACTAGAGAATTTGGAAAGACAACTTATGTTCACAGATTGGTAAAATTAATGTTGTGAAAACAACATTCTTACCAAAAGTAATTTACAGATCAATGCAGTACCCCTAACAACTCTTCTGGAATAGAGAAAGACCCTAAAATTCATATGGAATCAGAAGAGACCCTGGATAGCCAAAGCAAACCTGAAAACAGAACGATACTGGAGGGATTGCCTTTCCAGACTTCAGGGTATGCTAGAGAGCTGCAGTCATAAGGCAATGGACACCTGGCACAGAAACAGGCCTGCAGACGAGCGGAATGAAACAGAGGAGCCAAACACACGTAACACAGTACTCAGAAACAGGCCTGCAGATGAGCGGAATGAAACAGAGGAGCCAAACACACGTAACACAGTACTCAGAAACAGGCCAAAACATACACCAGAGAAAAGAAAGCATCTTTAACAAACGCACTGGGAAAAGTTGATGTTCACACGCAGAAAAATGAGATTAGAGGCTGTGTCTATCTCTCCACACAAAGGTTAGCCCCAAGTGGTAAGAGAATCCCAGTGTGAAACCTGAAGCACTAAAATTGCTAGAAGAAACTAGGCAGTGCCCTAAGAGATGCTCCTAAGAGGTGTAGAACGCTTCCTGGAGAGGACTCCCTTTGCCCAGGAGTTAAGGTCAACAATTTAAAAATATTTCACAGTACTTGTCTTTTCTCCTTGTGGTTTCTGGTTGGCTTTGCTTGTCTGTTTTGTCTTGCTTGTAGGATATTGCACTTCAGTATTATAAAAGCAAATGAGCAGGAAGGTCTGTGTAAAGGTGTTGGTGAGCAGCAGGGCTACTGAGAAGACCGATTTGCTGTGCCATGGCTCCTGGGTTTTGAGAGGCAGGCACCAGTGAGGTTTTGATAGGAAGTGTGTCTTTTATCACTGGAGGGAGAAACGAGAAAATGACCGCAGAGGCAGAGCTGCAGCTTCATGCAGCAAGCTGCAAGCGTTCATTCAGCTCCACAAGACACCTCCTGTTTTCTGTCTATGAAGAAGTGGGAGCCATTGTCTGAAAGTGAGTGGGGGAGTGTAGGTTAGCTTCAAGGAGGCTGAGAAGGTTCTAGGGAACCACCAAAGAGAGCTAGACTGTCTACAAGTCTTGAATGAATTGCTGATATGTTGGAATAGAGTTCATTAGTGGTGCTAGGAATTGACCCTGTGCACTCTAGGCTACTGCTCTGGTGCTGAGCTAGCGATATCCCCAGGGCATACAGAGGAGTAAAGTTGCTTGAGTTTGCCAACCATATTGTCTAGACTTTTTTGGAGTTAATTATTTTTATTTTCTGTGCATGAGTGTTCTGTCTGTCTGTCTATTCGTCACACAGTGCCTACATGTGAAGAGACCAGAAAAGGGTATTGAAACTCCTGGAAATAGAATAGATAGGTGATTGTGAGCTGCCATGTGGGTACTGAGAACCAAACCAGTCCTCTGCAAGAGCTGCAAGAGCTCTTAACCACTGAGTCATCTCTCCAGCCCCCAACTCCAACATGGGATTTTTAAAGAGTTTCATTATAGTATGTTTTTATAATAATTCTCCTTATTATTAGCTGCTATTGTTTATATCTTCTTATTGGTAGGTGTGTATAGGAAAATAGGGCATGTATGGGGTCAGGACAGTCAAGTTATAGAGGTTCACTGGAAGACCGCCTTTCCTGAGGATAAGGAGTGGCTGCTGTGTGTGAGAGTGTGCAGTGCTTATATCTGCTTTCTGTTAAGCCTGATGACCTGAGTTTGATCCTTAGGACTCACAGGCTCTCCATAGTTGTCCTCTGACCTCAACATGTATGCCATGAAATGCACATGTCCCCTCCGTTCACAGACGTATAAATAAATAACTGTAGTACAAACTTTAATGTCATTTAGATACACAGTGCTAAACCTTGATTAGTAGAAGGTATCCAGGCTTTATTTTATTTTATTTTTTTGATACAGGGTCTCATCAAGTAACTCTGGCTGTCCTGGGACCATGTAGACCATGCTGGCCTTAAATTCAAAGAGATCAGCATGCCCTGAGTGCTGGGCATAAAGATGTGCACCACCACACCCCGCCTGGTATTTAGGTTTTAAATTAAATAGTCAAAAGTTATCTACTTTGTTTATTAAAAGTAAATTAAATTAAATTTAATTAATTTTACCAAAATTAAATCGAGGGCCAGTTCCATTCTACCACACAGGCACATCTCATCTCTTAGCTTTTTTGACACAAGGTTTCACTGTGTAGTCCAGGCTAGCCTTGAACTGGAGATCCCGTTGCTTGAGCTTCCCAAGTACTAGGATCGCTATGCACACCTAGCAGTATCTCTTTTGCATTAAGGTACAATGCAGGACCTGGCATGGTGGTGCAGGCCCTTAGTCCTAGCGCTAAGAGACAGCAGCAGGCAGCTCTTGGTGATTTTAAGGCCAGTGTGGTCTACATAGAGAGTTCCAGGCCAACAAGGGCCACATAGTGACACCCTGTCTCAAAAAGCAAAACATACCTTCCCCCTAAAAATTCACCATACCAAGCCCAAATTCAATTTAATTTAAGGAGAGGAGTAAGAAGTGAATATGACCAAAATATATGGTATTAAATTTTCAAAGAAGTAATAGAATATATTTTAAAATATATAAAGCAATGTAGCATAAATTGTACATGTAGCAAAAAAAAAAAAAAAAAAACCACCCGATAGGGTGTTCTTTCTGAAATGTTTTGGATTATTGGATAGGAAGGAAAAAAGAAGACAGACCTGTGGTGAGTGCTTCTTCATGCCTGTGCGAGTCCTGAACTCGGAGTCCCGGCCATTACACTTGGGAGGAAGCATTCTGACGTTGAGCTGCTCTTCCATCCTCAGCGCTACTTATAGAAATTGAGCTCTGGTGCGACTCCCCTCCCATCTTTGTTGTTTTTTTAACTCGAATTTTTAGTATGTGTTGTTTGTATCATGTGAACAATACTAGAGAAAAACTATTGCAGGCATGGTGGCTCACACATTTAATCCTATCTTTATGACTTCAAGGTTAGCCTGATTAACATAGCAAGTTCTAGGTCAGCCAAGGCTCTGCAGATACAAGGCTATATATTGTCTCAATACCAAAACCAAAACCAAAGACCAACAGCAACAAAAATTTATTCGTGCAGATTGTTTAACACCTCCAGTTAACTAACACAGAATATTGCTTTCAAAAGATTTCTAACATGCAGAATATACTTAGAGATTTTAGGTTTTATGTGAGGTTTCAAATTTGACATTGTTCTAACATTGTTTAAGAGTGTAATGCCGTCAGGCAGTGGTGGTGCACGCCGTTAATCCCAGCACTCGGGAGGCAGAGGCAGAGGCAGGTGGATCTCTGTGAGTTCCAGGCCAGCCTGGTCTACAAATGAAGTTACAGAACAGCCTCCAAAGCAATACAGAGAAACCCTGTCTCAAAAAGCCACACACGCACAAATTAGTGTAATGCCTTTTTTGGGGGGGGGCAGTTGAAAATATAGTTACACAATGTTTCACACACAAAAAAAAAAGAAAGAAAAACTAAGAGACATTGGCAGGAGTGGAAATCTGTTTTCAGCTGAAACTTAGAGCAGTGACTTGCAGGGGAACAGGAAGCTATGCAGATGTTGGAACCAAGGTGAAGATCCGCTTGCCTGGCCTGTAGCAGGGTGTGGCCCATGTCTGGTGGTGAATTTAATAGAGTTAGAATGTGCCTGTGTGTTACAAAACAGAAGCAAGAGCATTATGGATTAGATGCTGAGTTGAGCTTTCAGATTTTGCCTTTTAAATAACAGGTCTGGTTACGAAGTCCAGGCATCCTCCTGCCTCAGCCTCCTGAGTACTTGGATAGCAGGTGTCTGCTGCCATGTTAGTCACCTTAACTATTTTTATTACACAGCTCTATGGCAGTAAATGCCGACATGATTCTGTGTGTTTCTCCTACCTGTCTCTTCATGTAACAAGTGCAACACTGTATCTCCTCCCTAAAGAATTCCTCACCTCTACTCTGCCCCTGACTCCTGTTTTTCCTACTTCTCATTTATATGATTTTTGGTTGCTTTGAGTACCTCATATAAGGGTACCTCATACGTATTTTGTTTTTGTGTGACTAGCATATTTTACTAATACAATGTCTTCAAGATTTCTCTGTGCTGTACTCTATCAAAAACACCCACCCTCCTTTCAAAGGCTATCCATATTTTTGTTTTGCAGATTTTCACACCAAGCTTTTTCTACTTATATATAGGTGCCCCCTCAATGTCCTATATATAGCACAGCTGGGAACTTTGTGTGTGTGATTATATGTAATTCTTTTCATGATAGAAAATTTGTAATTTGTTCTTAATTTGCAGCTTTTTTCAAGGAACAAACCTCCAAAGGGCCTGTATGTTTATGGAGACGTAGGTAAGTGTTGAATGAGTCCGGGGGGGGGGGCTAGCCAGGAGCTTCTGTCAGTCCCAAACCAGGGAGATCTGGATAAGGGGTGCGAAGGGGGAGGGAGGGACAGTGACCTCAGCTTTCACCATTGCTTCTCCTGGGCAGAATCAGATAGCACGTGAGAGTGTAAATGCTTTGTCACGCTTGAAGTGAAGCGAGATGACCTGCAGGACGTTGTCTGTGGCTGACGGCACAGCCAGATCTCATCACAGTGCTCTTCACTTAGCTACTTCTTTTTAAAATTGAGTGAATGCTTTTTGGCTTTGTGATTTCCACAGAGATTTCTATTCATAATCTAATCCCTTAGAGTAGTGACCTGGTCATCATTGTTATCATTCCATCCTCACCCCCTAAACAGGGTCTAACTAAATTTGTGCTGGTCTCAGTTTTGTGGACTCGGGTGCTTCTCCTGCCTCAGCACCACCCTGCCCTGCCGTCTCCTATACATCAGTTAGTAGATGTGGCTGTGGCATCGTGGTGGTGCTTCCTTGATCTAGCTCCATCCCTGGGGCGAACTTGCCTTTCCTTAGCTGCTAGGCTAGCTGTGAGTTTTGAGGTGATGTTCCTTTTCACTTATAGCAGGTGCTCTGGGGTGTTTTGTGCTTGCGCCCCGGGCACTACTCGAAGCACCCTGCGCCCCGCCCCGGGCACTGCTCTCAGGTCCCAGCACCCCAAGTGCTGCTCCCAGCCTCACTTGTCCAGCTCTTGTTCTTTGGGAGAGCGTTGTATTTCTTGGTACCTTCACTTTCATGTTCAGTCATTGCAAAAATCTGTTCTTTTGTTGTTCCTATTACCTTAGCCACTTACCCATAAATGGAGATGGTTAGTGGAGCCTTCTACAAAAGGGCTTGAAAAACAAGACTGGTGAAGCTTGCTCCCATAGTCTAACTAATTGAATGGAGATACAGTGTGAATAATGCATCTGAAGTCTTGGACAAACTAGCCATGAATGAGGTGCAGACATCAGGAGGAGTATGAGCTTGAGGCTAGCCTGGGCTATGTTGTAAGGCCTTGTCTCAAATAAAACAAAATAATGAGGAGTAAGAGAGAGGGAGAGAGAGAGAAAGGGAGGGAGAGAGGGAGGAAGGGAGGGAGGGAATAATCTGGGTGTAGGCTGGGTACATGCTGTTGGTTAAAATACCTTTGTAAGGGGCTGGAGAGATGACTCAGCAGTTAAGAGTACTGGCTGCTCTTCCTGAGGACCTGGGTTCAATTCCCAGCACTCATATGGCAGCTCACAATTGTCTGTAACTACAGTTCCTGGGGATCTGACACCTTCATACCAATGCACATAAAATAAAGTTAAATAAATTAAGACATACGTTTATAATACAGAGGAGAAGAGAGACAAACCCTGAACTAGGAAGTGAGATAATTTTTGGTGGCTAAAATAATCAGAAAAGGGGTAATAAGAAGTCTAGTTCTCGTTTTGGGAACTCTCTGCTAGAATAGTCTCAGAAGGCCACTCCAAACTCTTACTCTTTCTCATCCCGTTTTGGACTTGAGAAATGGTTGTTAAATCTAGCAAGGTTTCCTGGGAAGGAGGGTGCTTGTTTCCTAGCCCCCTTTGCAACCCCTCATTTCTCCGTGGTGCCCGCCATGTTGTACTCTTTATTTGTAGATGGGTTGAGATGAGGGACTTGAATGAACCCTGTATCCTGGAACTGTCACAGGGTTAGTATTTAAATTGGTGGATTAGCATTATAGTTCAGCCTTTAAGAAAACGATTTTCATCAGTAGTGCTCAGCTCACCACACTCGGAGGCTGAGCGAAAGCTTTATGCCTTCACTCTCGGCATGTAGCCGGTCCTGTCGCAGCAACTGTCAAAGCAAAAAAGCGGATCTCACCCCAGAGAGAGTAAGAGATGGTTTATTCAGGAGCTAAGTCATCAGCCAGATTCAGGTTCCCAAACACCACGCTCCACTGTGGAAATGCTTGTGTCAGGTTCTGGGAATCACAGAACAGAGGAAGCAGCAAATCAGACACACCGGTGGGTCCACAGGCCACAGCCAAGCAAGACAGCTGCGTTAGGTATGAGATAATGTCTGATCCAAACATCCTTAGGTTAGGGTTAGTGGTCTGTTAATCCGTTTAAAGTTTGGACAGTCACAAGGATGCTAGGTCGACAAGGGTGTGGGCAATGGATAGCTTTCAAAGGGCCTAAAAATAGCTGAGAGATTTTGGCTCTGGTTTGAAACATTTTAACTCTCCTTAATCTTGAAGTTTAGTTATTTGGCCTTGTAGAATCTTTAACACAGGTGCAACCTTTTCCTCCTTCCCACCTTTCCTTTCTTCCCTCCCCCCTTTTTTGGAAGCTGGGGGGACTTCAGTCTTTACTGCAGTGGTGCCAGCAGGGCTAATGATTTATCTAGACCATTAGAAGAGAATGGAAGTGAGTCCTTATTGTCCCTACCCACAGCAGTCTGTCCTGTCCTTACTGTCCTTACTGTCCCTACCCACAGCAGCCTGTCCTGTCCTTACTGTCCCTACCCACAGCAGTCTGTCCTGTCCTTACTGTCCCTACCCACAGCAGTCTGTCCTGTCCTTACCATCCCTACCCACAGCAGCCTGTCCTGTCCTTACTGTCCTTACTGTCCCTACCCACAGCAGCCTGTCCTGTCCTTACTGTCCCTACCCACAGCAGTCTGTCCTGTCCTTACTGTCCTTACTGTCCCTACCCACAGCAGCCTGTCCTGTCCTTACTGTCCCTACCCACAGCAGTCTGTCCTGTCCTTACTGTCCCTACCCACAGCAGTCTGTCCTGTCCTTACTGTCCCTACCTGCAGCAGCTTGTGCTGTCCTTACTGTCCCTACCCACAGCAGCCTGTCCTGTCCTTACCATCCCTACCCACAGCAGTCTGTCCTGTCCTTACTGTCCCTACCCACAGCAGTCTGTCCTGTCCTTACTGTCCCTACCCACAGCAGCCTGTGCTGTCCTTACCATCCCTACCCACAGCAGCCTGTCCTGTCCTTATTGTCCCTACCCACAGCAGTCTGTCCTGTCCTTACTGTCCCTACCCACAGCAGCCTGTCCTGTCCTTACTGTCCCTACCCACAGCAGTCTGTCCTGTCCTTACTGTCCTTACTGTCCCTACCCACAGCAGCCTGTCCTGTCCTTACTGTCCCTACCCACAGCAGTCTGTCCTGTCCTTACTGTCCCTACCCACAGCAGTCTGTCCTGTCCTTACTGTCCCTACCTGCAGCAGCTTGTGCTGTCCTTACTGTCCCTACCCACAGCAGCCTGTCCTGTCCTTACCATCCCTACCCACAGCAGTCTGTCCTGTCCTTACTGTCCCTACCCACAGCAGTCTGTCCTGTCCTTACTGTCCCTACCCACAGCAGCCTGTGCTGTCCTTACCATCCCTACCCACAGCAGCCTGTCCTGTCCTTATTGTCCCTACCCACAGCAGTCTGTCCTGTCCTTACTGTCCCTACCCACAGCAGCCTGTCCTGTCCTTACTGTCCCTACCCACAGCAGCCTGTCCTGTCCTTACTGTCCCTACCCACAGCAGCCTGTCCTGTCCTTACTGTCCCTACCCACAGCAGTCTGTCCTGTCCTTACTGTCCCTACCCACAGCAGCCTGTCCTGTCCTTACTGTCCCTACCCACAGCAGCCTGTGCTGTCCTTACTGTCCCTACCTGCAGCAGCTTGGCTGGCCCTATGCTCACACCTAGCTCTAGAAGTTGGTAGGGGTTAGAGCACAGTTGTGGGGCCTTGGTGGCGGGTGGGGAGGACCCCACTTCCTGCTTTGTCTGCAGGGGAGAGCTAGGAGAAGGAACTTCCAGGGTTGTTCTCTAGTTATCTTTGACTCCTAACTCAGGGCTTGGCTGTCAGATCTCAAAACTTTGGCGTTTTCAAGTTAATCCCTGGCACTACTCTGCTCTTGAGAACCTACCAGGTTTAATTTATAATTCTTAGAGACTAAAGCAACATTGTGAACTTGGTAGAATTTGGTATCCAGCACTTCCCACTTTTCCCGCAAGGTCCTCTGACCTTGTTTTCCTTACCAGTGGACAGGTGTTTTGGGCAGGCAGCGTGTTGCTTTGGAGAGGAACTGAATAGACAGACCAGCCATTGCTAATTCCTAATTCCAATCTCTCCACATTTTCTTCAGCCTTTAAGTCCTTGGTGCACTGTTCTTCCTTGAGCAGAGACTCTGACTACTCTAGGCTGCTCACAGAAAGGGAACTATCCAATATCCGACCTTTCCTGTCTGGCTTATTTTACTTAGCAAAATATCTTCAAGATTCATCTATATTGTTCCACACATCAGAATTGTCCCTAGATTCTTTGTTTTCATGCTCCTCCGAGCTTCAAACCATCAGTATAGTTTAAAATAAACTTTATAAGTTATTATTTTGAAGTGAGATAATTTAAAGACTGTATCATGAACAAACTAAAAATACTTTTGCAGGGGCAAAAAAGGTCTAATCACGTAAGAATTGTCTTCCTTTTAAAGGCTGAATAATATTCCATCACATGTATATATCACAAGTTGTTATCTATCTGTCAGTGGGTGTTACTGAGTCATTCTGACTTCAGTTGCTGTGAATAGTGCTACTATGAACATTATAATGTGTAGATCTTCGTTTGCATTCCCACTTTCAGTTATTTTATATGCCCCAAAGCGGGGCTGCTACATGATGGTTGTATTGTGTTTAATTTGGGGGCCTGCCATACTATTGCCAAGCAGTAAAGTGTGTCACTGTCGTGCCTGCCAGCAAGCAGAACACAGGAGCTTAGTCTTTATTTTGCTGTTTTGGCTTTTGAGATGGGGCCTCATTTAATTTGAACTGGTCTCAAACTCAGTGTGTAAGTAGCTGAGACTGGAGACTGACCTTGGATTCTGGGGCTGTAGGTGTATGTGTCAGAGTGCCTCATGGTTAGGGACCTCCCAAAGACGCCTCAAATACCTGCCTGGATCCAAGAATGGAGATGGCATTGAAACCAGAGGCCCTGGATACCT